TCTAGGCCCGAGGGATCCTTCAAGCTCCAGAAAACTAGATTTTCAACTGACCAACAACAGCAAGACCAAAACCCCCAACAACAACCTAATTCACACATACTCAGCCCACTTCCCAAAATTGATTTTCCCCACTTTGATGGAAACAACCCTAGAGCCTGGATTTTAAATGCAACAGTTACTTCAGAATTATACCCAATATCCCAGATCAACAGAAAGTAAACCTAGCATCTATGCACCTTGAAGGTAAAGCAGCTCAATGGTTCCAAAATTTCAGCCATAAGTGTGGGGATATCACTTGGGCACAGTTCCTAGAAGTCATTTCTGCTAGGTTTGAGGAACTGAAGGAATCCAAAATAATTGGTGAATTCAACAAACTAAGGCATACTGGGTCTTATGTAGACTATGTTGAAAGGTTCGAGGAGCTAAGAGCCTGTATGCTGTGTATGAACCAAGACTACTCTGAGGACTACTTTATTGCCAGTTTCATTAGTGGACTTGCTGAAGAATTGCAGGCTTTCATTAATATGTTTGAACCAGTCACCCTACAGCAGACTATAGACTTGGGGAAGAAGCAGCTAGCCACCTTGGAGGCTATTTCCAAGAGAATGAAGGGCCCCAACAAAACTTACCCAAATCCTTACCAATCACCTAAGAAAACTGAAGCCCCATTCAACTATAACCCCAAAACCACCCAAAACCAGCAAAGGAACCCCATTAAAATGCTCACCTCAGCTGAGATGGCTGCAAGAAGAGACAAGGGGCTTTGTTATAATTGTGATGAAAAATATGTCTATGGACATAGGTGCAAACACAGGCTGAACTATATGGTAATGACCGAGGAAGAAGAGGTCAGTTATCTACAATCAGCTGAAGAAGGAGATGGAGGAGAAGCTTATGAGAACCTTGAAGAAATACAAATGTCTCTCAATGCAATTGCTGGTGAGGATGGATTAACCACCATGAGAGTTTATGGGGTGACTGAAGAGCATAAACTACATATCCTCATAGACTCTGGCAGCACCTTAAGCTTTATCCAAGCCAGTACAGCCAAAAATCTCAAACTGGACCTCAAGGAAGCCACTCCTATTGTTGTCAGGGTGGCCAATGGCCAGAGGATGTTGAGTACTCAAATAGCAGAGGGTTTCAACTGGAAGATGCAAGGGCACACATTCAGTTATCCATTGAGGGTGTTAGACAATGAAGGTTGTGATATGATTTTGGGAGGTGATTGGCTGAAAAGTTGCACTCCCATTGAACTTGACTATGAGAAGATGAGGGTGACAGTGAATCTTAAGGGAAAAAGGGTTAAGATACAGGCCCTTAATTCAGAAGCTCAATGCAAATTGATCACAGGACCCACTTTGTACAAAATGATACATGAAGGATTGGGTGACAATATAGAGGAAGTGTACTAGGTTGCACTTAACAAACCTGATACACCAGGGAATCCAGTGGCAGTGGAGGCAATTTTGGAGGAATTTCAGGTGGTTTTTCAGGAGCCTAAAGGTTTACCCCCAAGCAGAGGTGTGGAACACCAAATTAACCTCAAACCTAACAGTGTCCCTAAACACCAATTCCCTTACAGATCCTCTCACACTCACAAGGAAGAGATCAAGAAGATTGTCAAGGAGATGTTACAGGCTGGGATCATCACAGATAGCAAGAGCCCATTTGCTTCACCAGTCATCTTAGTTAAGAAAAAAGATGCTACTTGGAGGTTATGCGTGGACTACAGGTATCTAAATGGACTAACCATTAAACATGACTACCCTATTCCTGTCATTGATGAGTTGTTAGATGAGTTACAAGGGGCTAAATATTTTACCAAGATAGACCTGAGGTCTGGGTATTTTCAAATTCTCATGGACAGGGACCACAGGTATCTCACTGCTTTTAGAACTCACAATGGGCATTATGAGTTCTTAGTTATGCCATTTGGGTTATGTAATGCCCCTGCCACTTTTCAGTCTTTGATGAATAAATTGTTCAGAGAGTTTTTAAGGAAATGTGTGCTGGTGTTCTTTGATGATATCCTTATATACAGCAAGACTTGGGCTGACCACTTGGGACACTTAAGGCAAGTCCTTACAATATTGAAGGACAATCAGTTATATGCAAAGAGGAGTAAATGTGAATTTGCACAAGAAAGGATTGAGTATTTGGGACACATCATCACTCACCAAGGAGTGTCCACTGATCCTCAAAAAATTGAAAGCATGGTGAAGTGGCCTACACCTAAAACCCTGAAACAACTTAGGGGTTTTCTGGGTCTTACAGGCTACTATAGGAAGTTCATCAGGGGATATGGCATCATCAGTAAACCACTGACTGACCTACTCAGAAAAGACCAGTTTAAATGGGGACCTGAGGCTGAAGGAGCTTTTCAGAACCTGAAACAGGCCATGACTAGTGCCCCAGTATTGGCTCTACCAGATTATAGCAAACCTTTCACTTTGGAAACTGATGCTAGTGGGAAGGGGGTGGGAGCTGTACTGATGCAGCAAGGCCAACCCATTGCTTACATGAGTAAAATGCTTTGTCCAAAAAATCAGGCACTCTCTATTTATGAAAGGGAGTTCTTGGCTGTGCTCATGGCTATGCAAAGATGGAGGTATTATTTGCAGGGGAATAAATTCATTATCAATACTGATCAGCAAGCCCTTAAACACTTGTTGGATCAGAGGGTTATGACACCTATGCAACAAAGGTGGATCACTAAATTACTTGGGCTGGACTATGAAATCAGGTACAAGAAAGGTACTGAGAACAGAGCAGCAGATGCTCTATCCAGAAGGGAGGTGGATGGTGAGAACATGGCTATTTCTACTCTCACTCCTACTTGGGTTCAAGAGGTCAAAGATAGCTATAAAGAAGATGCTTACCTGTCTAAAGTCCTAGCAGCAAACATTGTTAACCCTGCTTCCTACCCAACCTTCACAGTCACTGATGGGGTTATTAGACACAAAGGGAGATTGGTCATTGGTAAGGGAACTAAGTTACAGCAATCTATACTTTCTACCATGCACAATTCTTCCTATGGAGGCCACTCTGGGGTGTTGGGCACTTATATGAGGGCTAAGGAGGTTTTTTACTGGCCTGGACTTAAAGCAGATGTGTTCAAATGGGTACAACAGTGTGATGATTGCAAAAGGAGCAAATCTATACCAGGACCTTACCAAGGCTTATTACAGCCACTCCCTATTCCTGACAAAGCTTGGTCACACATTGCTATGGACTTTATTGAGGGACTCCCTAAATCAGCTGGGAAAGATGTCATCATGGTGGTCATTGATAGGTACACGAAGTATGCTCATTTTCTGGCCTTAGCTCACCCATTTACTGCCCCTACTGTAGCCAATTTATTTTTGGATTCCATCTACAAATTGCATGGGCTTCCAGTGAGCATTGTCTCAGATAGAGACAAGGTTTTTACTAGTGCATTTTGGAAGGAACTATTTAAGCTCTTAGGGGTTCAGTTGAACATGACTTCATCCTACCATCCCCAGTCAGATGGCCAATCAGAAAGGTTGAACCAATGCCTTGAAAACTACCTAAGAGGCATGGTTCACTCCAATCCAAAACAGTGGATGAAGTGGTTGGCATTAGCAGAGTATTGGTACAATACAAATTTTCACACTAGCCTAAAAATGACCCCCTACCAAGCTCTCTATGGCTACCCTCCTCAGAATTTCTCTATGGTTCCTTATCTGGACTCTACTCAGACAGATGTGCAAGAGTTTATGCAACAAAGGCAACTGCAAGCTCAACAACTCAAAATCAATTTAACTCAAGCTCAAGCCAGAATGAAATTTTATGCAGATCACAAGAGGGAAGACAAACAGTTTGAAATCGGGGAAACTGTATTTCTCAAGCTACAACCATACCGGCAACAATCAGTCTCCTTACGGAGAAACCACAAACTTTCAGCTAAATTTTATGGCCCCTACACTATCTTGGAAAAAATAGGGCCAGTATCTTACCGATTGGCCTTGCCAGCTGACTCCAAAATACACCCGGTTTTCCATTGCTCTCTCCTCAAGCGACGCATTCATCCGACCATTAAGGCTTCTCAGCATCTTCCTGCCACAGACGATTCAGGCAACATTAAACTGACACCTATCACAGCTACTGAGAAAAGAATGGTTTTAAGAAGTGGAAAGGAGGTACCTCAAGTGTTCATTCTCTGGGATGATTCTTCTCCACCGATGGGCACCTGGGAAGATGTGAGCTTTCTTCGCCGCCGCTTCCCAAATTTCGATCCTTGCGGTCAAGGATTTCAAAATCGCGGGGGTAATGTCATGAACCATGTTAAGGGAGGCGCAAAGATGTCAACTTTGATCGAAAAGAGGGCTGACAAGGGTGGAAAAGGTGGAAACTTTGGAGAAGAAGATGGAATTAAAGATGGAAATTCAAAATTAGGGTTGAAAGAGGACGTTGAGGAAGAAGGTCAAAAAGACGAGCTGGTTGAACTGAAGAAGCCTCAAATTGTTGGGCTATTTTGTATTCCACGTTAACTTATTTATGTTTTTAATTTATTTGGGCTTTAGTGGATTATGTCTTTTTGTTAGAGTTGTAATGGGCCTGAGTCTGTTCTAAGCCCAAGATTGCTAGAAAGTAGGTGGGACCCATGATCATGCGTAAAACATTGGCAGTGAAAGGAAAATATTCAGATTTGGATGCATAACAAACTTTCTCTCTCTCCCTCAATTCTCTCTTCTCTCTCCTCACGTCATTATCATCTTCCTCCCAACTCCACTTTCTGGTACTCAAAATGCCCAACTAAAATACAGAAAAATCAAGAAAAATACTAATTTACACTCGAGCTTAACAGTCCACTTCATTTTTTTTATTTTTTGTTGGTAAAAAAATCACCATATCTTTACCATATTTGTAGATATTATTTAGAGAGTGTAATTGTGTAATTAATTTAATTAAGCTAGTTTCCTTTTATCATGTTAACCCTAATCTCCTTTATTGTGAATATATATACGGCTCTAAGCCTCGACTGATCATCACGATTGGGATGAACCGATACCCCAATATTTCTCGTCACATACATTAATTTCGCATGCATACACATTACTGTTTTTTGTTTTTCCCTCCAGCTGCCCCAAGCAGACACCTCAAACCAGCAGACACCACCACACATGATTTTTAATAATTTCATAGAAGCTTAGAAGCCACATCAACTACAATAACTAAAAAAATTTGAAAAATGACCCGACACAAAAATAAAAACTAAAAAAAAAAATAATACAAAAATAAATCCCTAAAAATGTCGGCATTCCTAGAACTTTTGAATAAACAAACCACTTTATTTGCCCTATCTACCGAACTTTGGAAACGAGCTAGATAGATTATTAGCCTACCGCCCGAAACCAAACTCCCGCGTGAGCCCTCCAATAATCAGCAAAGAAATTGTCTCTGCACCTGAGCCAAAACAAAGGTTTGGCGTAGAGTAGAGAAAAACCTTGGATTTTCTTGTGTAGTATTTTCAGCTCGCCTTTCGTATTTCTTNACTTTCTCTGTCATGTAGACGTTGCACTACGAACTGAAGGGCTTTGTTTGGATGCATGCAAAGATGAAGTCACGTTCGTCTGCTGCGCGTCGGTTTCAGATGCAAGGCCTAGAAGTGCCAGTGTTGACCTGTCAAAAAAAAATGTGTGCGCATAATTCGAAGTACGTATTCATTGGGAATAATTCTTGACTATTTACTATTTAGCAGTAACACAACATCCGCTTGAAATTTCTAAAATGGGACAAGGAGCTTTCTTCTCCTTCCAAATTGGCTAATAAATAAAGTTAACAAATAAATAGCCAGTTTTGCCACAATGTGTTTTCCCTAATAATGACTACTCAATGCACTTATGCCCCCAACTTATCAACATGATCTCATTCATCCAATTGACATAATACCTAGGAAGAGAGGCCTTAACATCAGATTGATTGGCATAAGCAGTGAGTCGAGCACGAAGATTCGGATATTTGTTCAGAGCACCTTCAAGCTGGGGTGTGGGCAACTACAAGAAGACTGAAATAAATATAGGAACTGAAACACACACACACACACACAAACTCCAAAAGAAAATGATATTGTTCACCTGCAACAACACAGGAATGGAACGTGGTTGCGTTTGGGAGATACATTTCAAGAAGCCAACCCATAGTTGTGGCACTCTCCATACCTGTGGGCCCATTATTACGTAAAAGGTGAGTTTGTCTTTTTTACATTCTAGTTTCCACCAATACATGTTCAATGAATCAGATCATCAAGTGGCTGAAAATTTCATAGGAAAATTATTGTTTGAGCTCTACATGACATACCTGTCTGTTCACGAGTCTGGACAAAATTTCCATGACAAAATCAACCTGCAACAAACTAGAATTTAGAAACCAAAAAAAAAATGATACAGATTGAAGAACAAAATAAGACACCTCAAATGTGAAGAGAAAAAGAAAATGAAAAGAATTGATGTGGTCTAATCCTTTGGCGGGCCTACATAATGTCAAAATATTTATCCTCACAAGAACCATATTACCAATACATAACGGTGTGTAACAGACACATGGGAACCATATGTGTACCAAAAACCACTTGTATCAAAATTTACAGCAGATGGAACATTCTGTTATCTTAAGCAATCAATTTTTATGATTTATTGTGAATACCTAGTGGATGTCAGTTTTGATTTCCTTTCGACAAGTAACTATAATTAATATTTAGTTTGGGTAAATAGAACATTAGGAAAAATGTTATCAGTAAGACAGGTTCCAGTAGTTCTATCGTTGG